TGGTGGGGTTCCTGCCCTGGGAGCTGCTACCCATCCCCATGGCAGGGATCTTGTCCCAGGGCATGACACCCTGGGACTACTGACCCAGGGGTGACTCCTGTCCCCCAGACCACAAAATACACTTTATTTCTTATTCCCAATCAGCATTTTGACACTTTGAGGACATAATTCTGTCTTCAAAGCAGCACCAAAGCACTTCCTATTGTTAACTGGCTCTTGAGCTGGAATGAAGTTGTCCTAACAAGAAAACCAGTGGTCATGCCAAAGGCTGGCTGCAAGAAGTAGTGCAAAACACAGCTCATCTGTGCAGTAGATAAATACCAGGGAATCTGTAAATAGCAGGAAGAATGTAAAAGCTGCACAAGCAGAAGGAGAGCTGCCATGGGCAGATCCTGTACAGCTTCTTGGGCAGATCCTATACAGCTTCCTGGGCAGATCCTGTACAGCTTCCTGCTCGGAAGCCTCGGGAATACAGGACAGAGCACACAAAATGCCTATGTGACTCCAACCCACTGGTGTCCTTCAAGCTTTCTGTGGATTATTTCCTTGGCAAAATTTTCTGATTTCTCATCTGCTGCTTCCAACACCAAGTGCCCCATAGAGCCCAATCTTGCACTGCAGCCAGCACTTGAGAGAAACTAGGGCAGAATAATCATTGCTGATACCAAGCATGAGACTGTGGAACCAGTTTCCAGAGGGTATGAGAGCTCAAAAATTCAAGACGTGGAGAAGAGGATGGGACAGCCCAGAAGAAGATGGGGCAAGTTCTGCCCTTGAGCAGTGAAGAGGCAGAGATGCTGTGTGCTGTCAGCAGCCAGGCAGGTCCCACACAGACACCCCACGTGTCTGCCCTCCACAGCCCAGCCCCTGACAGGTGACCCATCTCCCCTTCCCAGTGGTAAAGGCAGAGCTGGAGTGTGAGAGAGCAGGGAAGAGAGGGAGGGACAGACGGAGGAGGGAGGGGAAAAGGAGGAGACCGTTTTATGAGGCTCAGTATATGTTCGGGAGGAGGAGGAGGATCCTCCAGTGCCGAGCTCCAGCGCAGTGAGGGGCAGCACCCGCTCGGCTGCTCCCCCGGCCCGAAGGGTTCTCCTTGCTGAGCACAACTCCAGCATCCTCATGACTCCAGTCACCTGGCCTCAGCACATCACTTGTTTCACAAGCTCAGCTCCAGCCGTGGGAGATGAGCACCCTGCCACAGCCTGGTAACACGGCAGCTCACACTCCACCGAGCCCCGAGTTCCCCAGTCCAGCCCCAGTGCTGCTGTTACTCTGTGTCTAACACAGCTGTCCCATGCCCCTCGGCAGGGAAAGGATTGAGAGGTGCTGAGGAAGAAATTTGTTTGTTTTCTCTTCTCCATTTATCAGGAACCAACAACAAGCTTGACTCTGCCAGGCTCCCTGTCCCTGGGTCTGTGTTGGCCAGAGGGACTGGCTGCCCACACAACGTTCTGCCACCCTCCACTTGCCTCCAAAAGAAATATTTACATCCTATGGCCAATCCCCGGAGCAGAAAGGTCACACTGACAATAGCAGACGGGAGGGTCAGCCCCTTCCCAAGGGCTTTGGAGTCCTGTCAGCACAGAGCTGGGGGTCCCCAGAGCCCTCCTGGGACAGGGATGCTGGGGCAGCTGCTGCTGGGCACGGACTGGGAGTGAGGGCAGCCCTGAGAGCAACCTCCTGCCTCATCTCATCTCTCAGGGTTAACAGCTACCCTTCATCCTTTCCTCTCTTTGTCAGAATCTTACCTCCTCCCTCCACAGGCAGGAATTACTGCAGGTGTCATCTGTAAGCTGTACCACAACTACAGAGCTGAAATGATTACAGAGCCCTCGAGCCAGGCGATGCATAAACATGTGGCACTGGCCCAAGCTGATCATAGCTGGACTGGGAAGAGGAGCCACAGGTAGGTGTGACCAGCAAACACCAGGATTCCAACCAGTATCAGCAACAGGGAACACCAGTGATAGCAAATGCCACTTAAAACCATCTGAAGCTACATGGACTGCAGATTTTCCTGAGCCAAGAGACCCTTAAATCCTTTTCTCCTCTTTCATTCCATTGTTTAGGTAGCAGCTCCTTCTCTGATTCCATTTCAGCTTAAACCAGAGGCCAACCCTCCCTCCCCACTGCTGTGATTCACCTTCCAAGTCATTGTGATGGTGGAACCTTGGATTTATTCTGTCAGTGCTGTGTCTCGCTCCTGAAAAAGGTTTTTCAGTCACCTCAATAACTGCTGGTAGTAATGATGCAACAACCAGAGCACAAAGACAAACAGCTCAGAGTCTATGGGGTGACAAAAGCTGGGATTAGTTTGCTAATTACACATAGGCACAACTGGCCCAGTGAAGGACACTGTATCAAAAGCTTTAAATTAACCCAAATTGTATTAATGCCCTCAGTCGTTCTGTGTGATGTGTCAGCACCTCTAAATCCAGACACCACCCTGCCATCCAAAGGGGCAGAAGCGGCTACAGACCTGCCCAGGAGCAGCAGCCATCCCAATTCCCCCCAAATATTAACAAACTGCTCATGCTTTAGTGTCATATGAGGGGTGTTTGACTCTAACTCAAAAAATACTTATCCATACCTGGCCACAACTGCAGCAGGGCAGAGCTGAGCTTGGGAGAGCTTCACCTGGAAGAGCCACGATCCTGCTGGCAGACAGTGGGACCATTTGGAGAGGGAAGGAAGTGGGAGCAACACACCTTGAAACGCTCCTTATTCTCCAAAGCAGGCTGTGTGTGCCGCTGCCCCCCCCAGCACCTCCCGGCACAGGGAGCAGAAGTGCCAATCGCCTCAGGCTGGAAAAGCTGGGTGAGTACCCAGGAGTGCCCCCCACTGCCCTCACAGAGCGCTGAGGCTGCATCCTCTGAGGCTACGAGGGGAAAGCTCGCTGGGCAATGCCACGTAGGACAGGAGCTCAGACCCAGCACCAGACACAAGGAGGGGGGTGCAGGTCCAAAGCCAATCATCCTTCCATCAGGGAATTTTACTACAGAGCCTCTTAGCTCCCACAACCCTTTCTCCTCGCAGGCATTGTTGCCTGTAATGCTGGTACACGACCCACCACACTCCAGCAGCAGCAGAGGCTGTTCCTGTGCTGGCACCGCCACAGATCCAGGAGAAAACACAAAGCCGCAGGAATGGACCAGCAGCACACTGTAAAGCTAATGGAGACTTTGCTAGGATGAAGTGTTAAACCTGGCAGTGATTAACACACATGGCTTGAGCCAGACCACGACAGAGCGTTCCGCTTTCCTTACTGTGTTTGAAAATCGCATCTGAATACAGAGAAAGGATAAATCCCGTCAGCCCATCATACCTTCGCAGCAGCAGGGTAGTGCTGTACAAGCACTGGAGTCCAAAGGACAAGATATTGGTGTTGAAAAGGTCACTGTGCCAGCTCCGAGACCCCGCTGATCCCACAGAAGTCTGCCAGGGGAAGCAGGACGCAGTCACGGCACACCGAACAGAGCCGCAACGAAGAGGAGGATACAGCACTTGCCTCAGGAATGAGGGAAATGTCATTTATCTCTAAGGCATGACTCGGGCAAAATGTACCTGCTGCTGTCTGGTCCAGCCCCCACGACTGCCCACTGACCTCCACGGGAGCCCAAACCTGCTCTCCTCAGCGCTACGTTCCCTGTCTGTGCAGGATCCCACTGCACAGGCTCTGCAGGCAGAACGGCTGCATGGCCGAGCCTTCTGTCAGCACAAACCTGCACCACCATCGCCAGCATCCGGAATGCTGAACTTTTCCAACTTGATTCCTCCCTGCTCCCTCTGTGCTGATTCCAGCAGAGATTTATCCAGACTCCAGAGGCACGCCTGGGGCTTGCGACGCTCCTGCCACGTACGAAGCTCACAGCTGGATGATGGTCACAGCTGGATGACGCTCACAGCTGGATTCTTTTTGACATATCTTTAATTTTATCCCCTTATTTTTTGCCAAGCCCTCAACTTCTCTGTACGATCCCCCAGTAAATCACTGCATGGATGGAAACTGCCACAGTGCCCAAATGAAGCCATGAACATTTAAAGCACAAACAAGCCCAGAGGCAGCACAGTCACCCCGTGCTAATTTAGCAGAAAAATCTCGTTGTTCATTCAGCCTTTGCTCCCACCGTCCCAAGCACCACAGGGTGAGCGTGTGGATGCAGGACTTCCTTGACTGCAAACCCCAGCTGAGGCCTCACACCTCGTGGCTGGGGCTGCCTCTGAGCCAGCAGAAAATCGCTTGTGCAGCCCTGTCTCCCTCCCGTTTCCATCAACACGGCCGTGCTTTGCTGTGCTGACAGGTGAGCATGCAGGTACCCACTGGTTTAGATGCTGTACACGATTTTACAGAGATGGTTCATTGCCTTTTTTTGAGGTTAATTCACCAGGAAAAATTACTTTTGATCAAATCCTACTTCTCAAACAAACTTCTCCTTCCCTGCTGCATTCCCAAAACCCATTCTAGCTCTACTTTAAAACACATTTTCTACCTGTACTTAAAACAGCCTGGAAGCACAAGTGACGTTTCTCTGCCGCTACATTCGGGGTTCCCTGCTATGCACAGCGCATTCCGGGCGCTGGGAGGATTTTAATTCGATCTTAAGATCCGTCCGTGCTTCAGGCACAGCATCCCGATCCTGCCCACTCCCAGCGGCGGGGAGCAGATGCGTGAAGAAATGCGATAAACACAACGATCTCACGAAACAGCGCGGACACCGGGTACTCCAAGGTACTCCTGGCACGATCTTGCCTAGTGAGTCCCAAGTGACGGCGTCCCGGCAAAAGGGAAGGTGCGGCAGCGGAGAGGGGCACCGAGGACAGAGCGGGGCTGGACTCGCGGGGTGCGCGGGGCAGCTGCGGGAGGCAGAGGGGCGGCCGGAGGGGAGCGGTGCAGGGTCGGGGTGAGGGGTGCAGGGTGCCGGTGCCGGTGGGATGCAGGACGCGGGGTGCCGGCCGGCGGGATGCGGGGTGCAGGATGCCGGTGGGACGCGGGTACTCACCGGAGTTCGCCGTAGGCGCCGGCGTAGCCCTCGACCCAGGGCTCCAGCTCGCTCTTGATGCCGGCGGCGGTGGCTGCGAAGGGCGCCCGGCCTGGCGGGTACCAGGCGTCGGCGGGGCAGTCGGCGGGCCCGGCGGGCGGCTCGGGGCACGGCCCGTACAGCTGCCCCTCCTCGGCGAAGAAGGTGGGCCAAGGGGGCGCGGGGCCCGGCGGGACCAGCTCGGTCCCGAAGCGGCACGGACCGCCCCAGCCGCCGCCCGCCGCGGGCCCCGGCCCCGCAGCGCTCTCCAGCTTGACGCGGCCGAAGCCGCGGGGCAGCCCCGGCCCGGCGGGCGGATCGGCGGCCAGG